CTTAACCTCCTCCGCGGGCCTGGCTGGCACTGCACTCCATTTTCCAGCATCCCTGTCACCGACGCTACCCGGTGACGTCATCCCGCTGAGCCTATTTAAGGACCTGTCACAGCTGAGCCGGCACTCAGTCATCATATCACGATAGACGCCAACCCATTCTAAAACGACAAGCCAAATCTACCAACTCTAAAGACCATCCGGGAAGAGAACTTCCCACGCTGTAAAGATCAGTCACGACCAGTGTTGGGAACGTTACTTTAAAAAAGTAATTAGTTATAGTTACTGATTACTTTGTCAAAAAAGTAACTCAGTTACTAACTGAGTAACAAGATCATAAAAGTAACTAATTACCAACAAAAATAACTACTTGGTTACTTTTTTCATTAAAGAATGCAAGAATTACTACAATAGTGAATATATAATGACTATTGACTGGAACATAATAAAATGTATGTTCAAATGTTTTTTATAAACCTGAATAATTTCAATAAATAAGCACTTAAAAGGAGGAACTACTAATAGGAACATTACACTAATCTAGACTATTAAATGGTCACTGTGTGATATTTAACAAGACCCCAATCAGCTAAAATTTAAAATTGCAAATAGAAACACCTGTAAAGGTTCCCGACCCTTTAAATGGTATCTCGGTCTAGTTAAATTACAGAAATAAATGTAATTTTGCACAGTATTATAATTTTTCCAGCTTCACATAATTGTGTGTTTTTAGCAGCATTTCTGTTGCTGGTAATCTAGTAATGGTTAAATAAATAAATAAAATCCTTTAAAATTACACTAGAAGAGGCACAAATCTGATGGAGGACTTACATGTACTAACGTGGGTCAGACCCAACCACAGAAGAGCTGAAGCTGGGTGGTGAACACACACAGGTAGTTCTAATAACACCTGAGCTCCATGTCGTTTGAGACTGATGCATCAGTGTTACAGCGGGGCTAAAGACATGATCAGAAACAGGTTACAGCTGGATGATCTAGGAAGGTAGAAGATCAGGACGTCTGAGCGGTGAACAGGTGAGCGGACCTTCGGGACGTCCCGCTGTCACGCCAAGAAGGGCACGGCTGCTGCAGGTGGGAATCTGCAGCAGCGAATCTGCGGGTCTGCAGCCGTAGACTATTCATCATGTCTTCCTCGTTCTTCACGGGCCGTGATGCTCTTGGATGAAAACATCTACCTCTTTAGCTCCTGATCAGCTGATGACAACTTCAACACACCGCGCTGCTTAACGCACGCATTTCCTTATCAGTAACAGAAATGACGTGTGGATAAAAGAAGACGTGGGCCGCTGCTGTAAAAAAAGTGAGGCGCGAACCGGAAAAGCTTCTGCCGATCACAATTCAACAACGGATTATGAAAGAACGGATACCGCTCGAAACACGCAGATTCTTCCTGATGTGAGAGGTGAGTCTCCACTTTGTTTTGGCGTCGACATCATCCTAGCGCGCCGACACCTCTCTCTCCCTGGCTGCAGCTGAAGTGTGGCGGTCAGAAAGCCTGTTGCTCAATGTTCGACAAGCACATAGTAACGCACAACCTTCCGTCCCCAGTAACGGTAACGGCGTTGCAACGGCGGGAAAAGTAATTAATTAGATTATTCCGTTACCTATAAAATAACGCCGTTAGAAACGCCATTATACTTAAACGGCGTTACTCCCAACACTGGTCACGACCAAACACCAGTCTCTCCGCGCCTGGGTCTCACAGCCACGCTACACCTACCTTAGCCACACTCCAGCTCAGCCCATCGAACCTGACATAGAACAAGATGGCAACAGCTCGTTTGAAACAGCTTTTACATCAATTTTTGACTTTTTGGACTTGGGCTTTATTAGAATCAGGAACAGATAAATGTATTAAAGTTATCTTTTTAGAAAAATTGATGTATTTTTGCCTTCTTCAACAGCAGACTGCCTTGTTTACAGACATCCATTGTAGTGAGTACGTTGCGTTGTTTATTGTCCAATATCATGTGGAGATCGTTTGAAAGACAACGGTAGAACCCGCCCCATGACCGAGAGTCGTCAATGAGCGTCGCCAGAGTAAATAATATATTTATTTAGTTTGGCTTGCCAGGCTACTATCTGGTGTTATCTAGGAGGAAGGGAGGGAGGGGGGTATATCAAAGGAAAAAGAAACAACACACACCCCCACCGGCAGCCATACTGTGGCCGAGCCGTGCGAGATGGAACATTGATGGCTGTTGAAACCCCCAACTTCTGACTCCACAAATGGTCTCACTGTGGAATAGTATTGAACAAATTTCTCCATTACAGACAGATAGAGTCTCATCTGGCGACATTCAGACATCGGGTTAAGGAAACTATGAGTCATGTCACCTAGAAACAACAGCCTGAGGGGCTCGGTCGAGAAGTTTAATGTTCTGTGGTTGCCATTTGTTTGTTTTAATATTGCACCTGTTGATAATTTTTTGTGTTAATTAATTTTTGTGTTTTAAATCAATGTCATCTTGAAACCTGTTTTGTGTTTGTCTTTTTGTCTCAGTATAGGGGGATAGTTGAGGGTGGGGGTTGTAATGAGTTGTTTGTTCTGTCTGAAATGTTGCAAAAAATAAAATAAAAAAGATGAGACCTTGCTCAAAAGAATAACTGATGGAACCCTGAACTGTGCTCTAGCAGAAAGGAGAATGTCTGACCTTTAACCAACTGTTTATGTTGGAAAACCCTCTAATGTCCAAACAATTCTCCAATGAGCAGTGGGCCTAAATTAGTCAACATGAGACTAGTTACCACAAGCGCTCGTAACCCCCAAATTCCACTACCTCCGCTCCGGCACGAACTCCGGAGCAAAATCGGTCCCGTTGTAGTCAATCAGAGCAATTCCACTACTGCGGCCGTGCTCCGCCAGTGCGCCGCCCTCTGTTCCGGCGTCCGGCAAAAATAGAATCAATCCTATTTTTGCCGGACGCCGGAGCACCTCCGCAGTCAATGGACAGGAATCACAACCGCCCAACAGGAAAGGGAGCAAGCACAACTTCCGTTTTTCACAATAAATCGATAAACAAAAGGCGTTTTTTTTGTTTCATATGCACAGGTTTAACAACTATCAATGGCGGCTGAACTTTAAATGCACAAAAGTAAGCCATAAATACAGTTTCCACTATCAAAGTAGTCACACTTTGTTGATTCAAACACTGCTGATCTCTCAACACAAATGATGTGTGTGTTGTGTGTGTTTGCTCTGTCTTCTCCATCCCCAGTGAGTTGTGGTGGCTCCTTATCCTGAGCCAGAATCCTCTGGAGGTTTCTTCCTGTTAAAAGGGAGTTTTCCTCTCCACTGTCGCTGCATGCCTGCTTAGTATGAGGACAGCTGTCAATATTTTTGATGTTTCTCAAGTACTTAAGATCATACAGTTTGCAGATCACACTAACATATTTTTCAGTAGCGATGATTATACTGATCTTGTAATGACCGTAAAAAGGGAGCTAAAATTAATAAAAAAAATGGATGGATATAAATAAATTATCATTAAATATAAATAAAACTAAAGCAATGTTTTTTGGTAATTTAAAATATAATATGGAATTATCAATTAACATTGATGTGAGTGAAAACAAATTTTTGGGAGTCGTAATTGATAACAAAATTTCATGGAAACCCCACGTCAGACACATAAAAACCAAAATTTCCAGAAGCCTCGCAGTTTTGAACAAAGTGAAACCATACCTGGATAAAGATGCACTTCGTACTATGTACTGTACCCTGGTTCTTCCACATTTTACATATTGTGTGGAAGTGTGGGGTAACACATATAAAAATACAACTAATCCATTAGTCACAGTACAGAAACGAGCACTTCGTATTATTCACAAGGCTGGTTATCTAGATCATACTCACAAATTCTTTCTTTAAGCAAAATTACTAAAATTCCAGGATCTGGTTAAATACAATACACCCATATTCTTATACAAAGCCTTTAATAAACTTCTACCTGCAAATTTACAAACTATATTTGAAATTCGAGAAAGGGTTATAATGTGAGAGGCCTTGGAGAATTCAAATTACCAAGAACTCGTGTGTCTGTATGTCGTGTGAAAATCTGGAACAGTCTGAGTTTTCAACTGAAACAATGCAATAACATTCATAGATTTAAATTCCTCTACAAACAGTTGGTCTGGTCACAGTATACTCAATGATGGTTTTAGTGTGCTCTGTAATGTCTGTTCTCTTACCACTGCTGGTATGGATACGAACAAAAATAAATAAATAAATAAAATAAAAGTGTGTGCGTATGTATGTACATATATGTACATGTGTGTGTAGATACAAATGTAGCTATGTATATGTATGTGTGTTTGTTACTATGTAATTATTATTGCCTGTTTACCTGTGGTAATGCAATTTATAATTAATATATTCTGTATTCAGTTATGAAGGTTATATTTGTTGTTTGAGAGCTGCTGTTGAGATGTGTGCATGAGCCCAGAGCTGTTGATGGGTTGTTTGGTTTGCTACGATGAGCGTAGCTGCGGGAAGCTTATTGTTTTTTTAGTTGATGAGTGAGTGTAGCTGCGGGAAGCTTATTGTTTTTTTAGTTGATGAGTGAGTGTAGCTGCGGGAAGCTTATTGTTTTTTTAGTTGATGAGTGAGTGTAGCTGCGGGAAGCTTATTGTTTTTTTAGTTGATGAGTGAGTATAGGGGTGGGATTTAATAAGTTTTCTTCGTCCCACTCCTTTTCAGGTAATTTTTGTTTCTTGTTTTTGTGCACTTTATGTTTTATATATGTATTTTGTTGTCCCTGAAATGAACAAATAAAATAAATAAAATAAAATAAATAAGACTCTGACACTAGTCAGTGACTCGATGCAATTTGCTGGGTTCCTTACATAGGAAACTTTTTACTGATTGGCTGTATTGGAATGTTTATGATGTGAAGTGCCTTGAGACGACTCGTCGTGATTTGGCGCTACATAAATAAACTTGAATTGAATTGAATAGTAAAAGCTATTTTGTGTGTGTTTACCTTGTAGAACGTCCGGAGTAAATGCAGACTTTCTTCCCGAGCACCCTGCAAACACACACATGATATTCTGGAACTTTACCCAGCTTTCAAACCACACAACAAACATATCTTCATCTTTAATAACTGCACAAACAATTCAAAAACACTTTCACACGATCAATTTCTATGAAAACATATCTGAGCCGCTATGATCCAAGCAGGAAGCAGAGGTTATACATTACTGCTCTTATCACTAATGCGAAAGGGTTTCCCTCCAACGTGACGCAGTTTCAGCTAAAGTGAGATGTGCTCTGGATTCACAGCAACACTAAACAGACGGCTTTACTGGGAAGAGCTGCTTCCTTGGATGTCTCCCTGATTACTATTCCTGAGAAGGATCGGCTTACAGAGAAATAGAGCAACTGGGGAGATAACTCAGCTTTTTAATGAAGCACCAGCCAAGATGTCTTCACCAGGCAACAAAAGGGGAAAACAAGCACGAAATACAGTCCAGTTTAATTCTATTTAATCTTATTTGTTCATTATAAACCAAGTCGGTTAAATCTATACTTGATATTGTTTGTTTTTACCTACATTTGTACATTGTACACAGTTGCTCCGCTCACATCAGGATTTTTAATGATATTATTTTAGCCACTGATTCCAGTTCCCATGTTGCCCTGGTGATGTTGGACCTCTCAGCTGCATTTGACACGGTTGACCATGCCATTTTATTGTCCCACCTTGAGAATTTGGTCGGCATTAAGGGATCTGCACTTGACTGGTTCTGCTCCTACTTTGACAACAGGTCTATTAGAGTTAGAATGGACGACTGTTCATCTCCCTCTGCTGCTCTTCCTTGGGGTGTGCCACAGGGGTCTATCCTCGGCCCCCTTTTATTTAGCATTTATATTCTTCCACTGGGACTAATCTTTAGGAAGTTCAACATTAACTTTCATCTTTATGCGGATGACTGCCAGATTTATGTTCCATTGAAGACTTATCTCCATCCAGCCACTCGATTGCCTGAGTGAGTTTAAAGACTGGCTGTCAGCAAATTTTCCGCTGCTGAATGATTTTAAGACCGAGTTTATTGTTTTTACTCCTAATGGCTCATCTTCCTCTGCTCCTGATTTTTCTACTCTTCCTTTTAAAATTAGTCAAACAATTATTAATCTTGGAATTAAAATGGATTTGGCTCTAAAAATGAACCCTCACGTTAATCACATGGTTAAATCATGTTTTTATCAGCTGAGATGTCTTTCCAAACTAAAACCCATTCTGAATCGGCGCCACCTGGAGACAACCATTCACACCTTCATCATTTCAAGGTTGGATTACTCCAATGCAGTTCTGTTTGGCATTTCAAAAGCCGCATTATCTCGCCTTCAGCTGATACAAAATGCGACAGCAAGATTTCTGACCAATACTGGCCGTCGGCGGCACATCACTCCAATTTTAGCAAGACTTCACTGGCTTCCTGTGCACTACCGTATACGTTTTAAAATTTCATTGTTTGTTTTTAAGGCACTGAATGGCTTAGCACCACCTTACATATCCGAGTTACTCACTCCTTATGTGCCGGACTGGACTCTCCGTTCAGGTGACCTACACCTACTACAGATTCCCCGTCTACGCTGCAAAACCCGTGGTGAATGAGCTTTTTCTGTCTGCGCTCCGAAACTCTGGAATGATCTCCCACTGAATATCACTCTCCTCCTCCATTGGGGTTTTTAAGTCTCACTTAAAGACTTACTTTTATTCCCTTGCTTTTACTGCCTAGCTATTTTATCTAGGTTTATTTACACTGTTCTTTTACCGATTTTATTGACTTCTCTTGTTTGGTTCTTTGTGCTAAGCTCTAGCTGTTTTATTCTTTTATATTATTTGTTTAACCTTATAAGTTTTTACCCCTGTACAGCACTTTGGTCAGCTCACATGCTGTTTTTTTAATGTGCTTTATCAAATAAATGGAATGGAATAGAATGGATATTATTAAGAAGGTTCTCAGAAGATGGAGTCCAGCTTTATTACAGTTAAATTATTTGCCTAAAATCCATCTTGTAATGAATCAGGTTTAATTATTAGCTAAAAGCTAAGGGTTGGCACAAAAGAGCTAAACACTGTTAGACAATCAGTCTTATTATTTTAGGACTCAACAAATGAGTCTTTTCTTTTAATATTACAAAGTGACATGTGGGAACTCATAATCCTGGAGAATTTGTTTTAACTGAGTAACACATGCTAACATCTGAGCCTTAGTCAGAAAAACCCATTTCCAGGATTTTATAGGGTCATCATACCAGGAGAAGTGACAGAAAATAAACAAACTCCTTCAGAATGATGACTAAAAATAAAATTATTTTTAAAAAGAAAGAGAACCAGAGACTCAGGAAGTTCATGTGAAGTTTGGGCTGCTTGCCAAGAGGAGAGAAAGGAGCTCAGATAACGTTTTTCACAGAAAGTGCTGTCATGATGAAGCTCTTCCAGAGAACCCAGATTCCTGGGAAGTGGGAACATGCGAGATAAAAAAACCTATAAAGTGGCCCAGCTCTGTGGCTTCACCTGTTTGCTCTGTTCTCTGGAAACCATTGTGACTAGAACAAATGGGTTTTACATGCACTAGACATTCAGACAGAACCAGTCAAATAGTTTATTTATGTGGGCTTCACCTCTAAACACGCCAGATGTACATCTTTAATGATGCAGCGGGTCCCAGACAACACGGACTGCTTCAGTAAGAGGCAGCTCAGTTCGAGCGTAGCCAGGCGTACCTTACCATCTGGACGAAAAGATCATAAAAACACAAATGATGTCGACACACATGGAAGGAGCATTTACATAAAACAGATCCAAGGTGGCAGTTCCTGATGTAAATGATGCCAGTGTTTCAGTGTTTCCCCTAGGAACTGTCCCAGCTGTGGCCGGGGGGGGGGGGGGGGGGGGGGGGGGGGGGGGGATTATGACAAGTCTCTAAATAAAGTTAAATTTTCCAGTGCAGATTGGAGACAACCCATAGAAGCACTGATTTGATCTCATTTCAGAGAAAAATAGAACAGGTTAGATGCACCTAATAAATAAAATTACTAACAAACTCGGGAATCTTTCTTTGCTTCACTGTTCTGGTGCTGAGAATATCACTAATGCGGATCAAAGGAGATACACAGATGAATGCACCTCTTATTTATTATTTGGAGACTACATTTACTGCAGCTGGCAGAGGCAGAGATTTTTTCTATTGATACACGGAATTTACAGAATCATTTTAAATGTTAATAGGGGAAGACTGCAGGAGGGAGCGGTAAAATACAGGGGGTCCCCAGCAAAAACAAGAAACTACGAGTCTCATGAAACCCGCTGGTTTTCCATCAGGCAGTCACGGGGCGGCTCCAACGACCAGAGAGAGAGAGAGAGGGTGCTGGGTCAATGTTATCTAGCTCAGTCCAGCTCGGCAGAGGGTGGACGAGCCGAGGCGACGTCGTGCTCTGCTTAAGAAGAGGTGTTATTTTCCCGCTTCAGAAGAAGCGTCCAACGTGTTTTTACGCTTTCTCCGAGACATGTCACGTCGCTAAGTTGTTAGCGCCGCGCGCTAAAACGTCAATAGTGCAGCGTAGCCTGCTGAAGGTTTTAAGGGTTCAGATGAAAACACCCGACCTCTCACGCTGCTCACGCATCGATCTTAAGTTGTCGCTGTTGCGCTCACACCGTAATACAGTATTAGATGCGGTTAAAGTCAGACACGAAAAAATAAATAAATTTTACATGACTAAGTGATGCTTACCCTGGTGGGGGGGAGAACCTGGCCTAATAAGCACTGGAGGAAACCCTGTCAAGATCGTCAACACTCGTTTATCTTAATGCTATCGAAACATGTAAACCAAAAATCATTATATCCACTGCTACCTTTCTAATTTTAAACTCAGTAACTTATGCTGTAACTTCACCTTGCCCTGCCCGCTCCTTGCTGCCCGCCGGCTGTGATCACAAGCGACAACATAGTAGTTCCCGCTGCTTCATCGGGAAACAGCGCAAAAAAAAAAAAACTTGGGATCTTGTAGGCGTGGCGGTGGGATTTCAGCCGTGGCGGGCCGCCACGGCTACGCCTATGTAAGGGAAACCCTGGATGCTTCTGAGTAGAGCTGCGTGATGTTACGCTAAAGCATTGACATGGCGGTGTATGCATGCGTCATCGCCACATCTCAGGTCCCTCTGCGATGTCGGAGGAAAAATGAACTCAACGTGTTCTCATCCAATGCTAAAGGTACCCGACACGCAGAGATCCACTAATCAGGATTGTCCTTACTCAGCGTGACCAAGCAGACCATGTGAGATTTTATCGGTCACTTGATGGATGTGGGTCAAAAGCTACAAAACGTGGGTGGTGCTGTAAGAGTCTGAAGCTAATATAAGGATGCTAATGGAAGTTATGTTGAAAGATTTGTATAAAAGAGACGCATCTGAAGGAAAATTCTGAGGTTTTCAGTGGATTATTACGTTTGACTGTGGACATGAGACTTGTTGTGAACAAATTATTTTACTGGAGGACATTAAATGGACGCTTGTGGACGTAAAAAGACAGTTTTGTTTGAGATGCCTCTGTTCTGTAAGTGATATGAGGCTTTAAACAGAGAGCTAATTTGCATTTCTGGTTGGTTAGACAAAAGTGTTTTACTGTCTCTGCAGTTATGATTGTTGCTTGTGGGGAAAAATGCTGACTTGACCCAGAGGAATGTAATTTACCAGCTGCGATAGGCCAGCAGGTTTATTAACAACAAGCTTGCATGAGTGCACCGTAACTTAAACAGCTATTTGGCTCTTCTGTTGAAAATTCCTCTGACTTTTCCTAATATCATGCAGCCCTAGTTCTGAGCCGCAAACAACTCAAACACAAACTCTTTTTGTGTCCATCTTCAACTATTTTTAATATCGGGGCTCTTATCTCTGCCAAAATCAAATTCTAGAACTCTTCAAGCTGTTTCAAGATGAGCTTTCTAGATTTTCCAGCACTTTAAATTGGTGATGATATATGAACATATATGTGTACGTTTATATATCCCCAAGTGGCTGGGGAGAGGGAAGTCTAGGGTATTGCCCCAGCAACCTGACCCTGGACAAGTGGAATCATAATGGACGAAAACAATGACACAAATAAACAGATCTGTGTGTGTGTGTGTGTGTGTGGGTGGGTGGGGTGGGGGGTGGGGGGTGGGGGGGGGTAACCTGGCTGTGCTGCCTGGTTCATTATTCTGATCAGTCGTTCTACAAGCACCACGCTGTAGGAGCTCCTCTCCTGGCCTGGAACCGGCAACTGCAGACGCTCCAGAAGATCACGGTTCACACCTGAAAACAAATCAAACCCATTCAGAATCAAACCTGGGGCGTTTGCTGGATTGTTTCAAACTGACGTAACCGTCATACCTGGGACAGAGGTGTGCACAAGTATTTTATTTCTGATTGCAGATTTGATCAAATTAATGTCCTGCTGGAATAAACTGGGTTAAGGGCTAATTATGCTTACTGATCGCTGACATCAAGTAAAAGGAGTGAGATCGTTTTACTGTCTGTGTCTCTCTCAGACCCCTGAGCTTTTAGACGGATTTTAATGAGAGTTAACGCAATCCGACAGCTAACCAACATTATCAGATTGTGAGAAATCCTGTGTTAATTTTTATAAAATGTACATAAATGACTCAAAACTCAATCATTTCTCAACATTAGATGGCCTTAGCTAATACAACACTACGACGTTTTAGCACTTGAAGCTATTGTTTTCACACTGGTTTCTGTGGTTCTTCAGCCATAAACTTCACATCTGACAGTACTCTGCTAAAAATATGACAATTATGAAAATAAAATTATAAAAGTTATACATAATAAACTGGTGTGGTCTAGTTTCCTCAGTCCCAGCTGATGTTTATAGTTAATAAATATTTTATGGAACAACATTTGACTCACATTTCATTCACAATTTAGGGTTGTATTGACCTCATCCGAGTCAAAATAACATCTAAATATGTTCACAGATAATGAGTAGAATTTGATTATTTCATCATAACATGTAATTTACTAGAAATTAGGGCTGCAACAAACGATTATTTGGATAATCGATTAATCGGATGGGGTCTCGACACGATTAATCGATTAATCGGATTACATAGGGACATTTTTAAAAACTGCTAGGGAAACGTTATTTTTCTCCTTCCTTCACTTTATTAAACACGCCATTATTAGAAAACAGTTCAATAGCAGAAAAACAACATGCCATCACCTAAATTGTCTTATAAGGTGTATAGACAGAGACCCTAAGCTACACCTATCTGTGACCTAAAATGCTTGGTCCAAGTTAAACAGCTTAAAGAGCAAGTCAACCCCTACCAGAGTCTAACTCCACTCCCGCTTCATGTTTGAAAAATGCAACACATGCTGTTGCCTGGCAGACCGAGAGGGCGGAGCCGCTAACAAATACACACACACTCAGGCTCACGACAGCATTGTGACATCATAATGTACCAGTTTACATCATAGCATACTTCTTAGCCAATAGCGGTGGTAGATTTAAATTAAAATACAGTGCAGAGTTTTTACCTGACAATGGCACAACACTGCCAGTTTGAGGCAGAATATTTAAATTTTAACTAAGATGCAATGAAGTGCCAAATTATTGATGACACGTGTCTGCAGCACAATTAGACACTCGTTTATTTAGTTTATCAGCAAAAAAAAGTTTATTTGGGGGTGACTTGCTCTTTAAGGGCAATTCTCATCTGTTTTGTTTGATCTCATCTGTAGACATTTATTATAATTGGGGATGTCAAACAACTAATTTTTAAATGTAATTAAACATAGGCTGTGAATTAATCAAAATTAATCACTATTTCCAAAAATGACTGAAACAATACCAAATAAAACAAAAATAAATGAATGCCATCCTCCTTGCGATGATGCCCTGGGCAACTGCCATAAAGTCACATCAAGAAATGTTGCTGATCATTCCAATGATCCCAAACAGACTCACATTAGGCCACATGAAAGCAACTGAACCCAAAAATATATTAACCAGTATATAACTGCACTCACACAACACGCCTGCAGCAACAGTTAGGACTCCTCCCTCCCTTTTAAGAGCGTTTTCGCTTCTGAGGACATTGTGGTTGTAAAGCCACATGTTAGTAGTCTGGCCCCGGTGTAATCAACCAGTTTCTGCGGAAATGTGACAGCGGAACCGGTTCGCAGCGGCGCGAGTCCCCCCCACCCCCACCCCCCTATCTAATAGCGTCACGCTTACAATTTTATAGACTTTTTTTAAGAGCTTAGGACATGTCTAGCGTGTGTAATAATCCGGGGCTTGGGTGAATCACATTTGAAAAGTTTTTAACTTACCCGGACACCGAGCTCTCTCCTTCCTTGCTGATGATTCTGACATGCTTGCGTTTAAGACGCTGCATCATCACCGTAGTATCCCCGTGCCATGCTAAGTCTGACCTACAAACATTGCATGTCTTCGCCTGATTTAACTGAAAATGCTCCCAAACTTTAGAAGTTTTTACTTTTTTGGGGTCTCGCTGCTTCTGCCATGTTCCTCTTACAAACACCTGCCGGCTCTCCACCGGTCTGCGTGCAACGGCGGGCGGGAGGGGAGGGGGCTTTTGGAAGAGTTGCGCAACACAACGAATCGATGACGCAATTCGTTGCCAACGCTTTTAGTAATCGATTTTCATCGAATTTATCGATTCGTTGTTGCAGCCCTACTAGAAATGCTAACATTTCATTTCTACTTGTAACAATGTACTTGTGGTATATTTATTTTATTATGTATGGGTTGGCAACATAATCGTCTAAATTTTATTGAAATATAAAAGTGTTAGTGAATTATGTGCTACAATGGCTTGCCAAAGCTCTGCGGTGAATGGAGCAGACTTGAAGCAACAATCGGGAAGTAGCTGCAGCGGCTCTGCCCCACACCGCTGCAGAGATCCATAAATAAATGGGATGGTGACTTGGGAATGCTACCTGCTAGCTTAGTATTAGCAATTCTGCTCATATTTTAAACTTTGGACCGTGTCGGCCTTTTACAATGGTTTCTGTCTTTGCTGGTTTCTCTACTTTCCTCCACAGCACCTAGATTACCGCATGGTGCTCCAGTAAAATGTGTTCAGACTGTGGACCGCACATTCAATGAAGCTTCGAATCAGTAAAAATTAAGCGAGGAATTTAATGAAACAAACCATTCGATGGTTCGTTTCAGCCCTACACACTAACACAATCTTTACTTAACCATTTAGAAAGGAACTGGTCTACAAAACAGCAGCAGGATCAGCGCAGATTCTGACATCAACAAGCAGGGCAAACTGGTCACACACACACACACAGCAAGGGGACGGGGTGGGGGTGGGGGGTTTGGAAAACAGTAGGTGTGAGCAGAGGAGCTCGTTGGAAATTCTCGCCTGATATGACTGATATGAACAGAGGAGCAACGGGCAGTGCACAAATTTCGTGAGCGATCCGCTTCTCAGCCGGTGTGTTCCGGGCGTTCCACAGAAATGGTTGAAACTAAGGTGATAACACCAAGAAACATAAAGATAATGTTATCACTGAGGTGATGTACGTAGCAGAAAGTCGAACCTCTGCTGTGAGAGACGGCGTAAAGCAGGCAGAGGACAAACAGGGCGTGGTAGTCATCGCTGGTGCAGTCCAGAGCACTGTACACCATGTCCAAGAAGGGCCTGTGACAGAGAAGACACCTCTTTTTGTTAAGCTGCTGCAGTGTGTGTGTGCATGTGTGTTTTGTGTGTGAGTGTGTGTGCGTACCTGCTCCTCTGTGTGTGTGTTCGTGTGGCAGCAGCAGTCTTCTCCTCATCTGTGATGTTCTGTTCTGTCAGATCTGATACCTTCGATTTGTCCATCACCACCATTTCGATCTCTGCGCACGCACACACACACGCACACACACAAAGTATCATAACAGGTTGAAAACATCACATCCAACAGCTTCCACACACTCACACACCACTAATACACATGACCTGAAGCAGGTATGAATGTATGGTGTGAAGTGGTTCCTCCTCTCCAACAGATCACAACAGTGACAGAAAATATTCATAAGTTTCAGAACATTTCACACACTTCAGAGATCTGATCTTGAAAAGTGTCATTTTACTGACACTTTAATCAAACTGTGTGTTTTGTTTTTCCAACCTTTTCGGAACAAATGTCATTGTGAAACCATCTTCTGAGACTCCGCCTACTATATGGCAAAAGACTGTTTTAAAACCATTTATGTTCCTTTGGGTCTGACGCCGTGTAAAAGCCCCACAGAGACACTTTACTGTCAAAGTAGAGAAGGAATCAGTTCAGGTGAATGAAATCATCTCTCTCTCTCACACTCACACACACACACACACACACACACACACACACACACACACACACACACACACACACACACACACACACACACACACACACACACACACACACAGGAGCAGTGGGAGTCAGGCAGAGAGGTGAGGAGCACAGGGAGGATGGGCTCTCTGCTGACAGTTTGGTGGTAAACATGAGGAAATTCTAATGAACCAAATGATGTTTTGCTGCCCTTTTCATGACTTTTCAATATAAACATTTGAGCAGCAGAAGCAGAAAGTGATAATTGTTATTTAAATAATCACCCAAATTAAAAGTCAGGATTAAACCTTTAACGAAAAGATATTAACGTTGATTCAAATCAAGCTGCTGCTGTGATGGGTGTTTATGAGGTCACAGATTTGACTGATGGGTAGAAACAACACTCACACACAAAGTCCTGCACTGCTGCGTCTAACGACACACACACTCACCTTCCGCCATCTCCCCACTCGCTCTGCTTCCCTTAGAGCTCCCACTGCCTCCTCCTATTCCCTCTGTACCTTTTCCCTTCTCCCTCTCTCCGCCTCTGATGATGTTCTCATCATCCCAGCCCTCCTCCAGCTCTCCTCCACCACTGCTGCCACCTTCGCCCGCTCTTTCGTCATCCTCCTCGCCCAGGTTCTTGTAGTTGGGCCTTTTCTGTGTTCTCTTTCGGCCCCGGTGCCGGGACAACTCCAGGGATCGCTCCAGAGACTCGGGCGGTTTGCTGAACCGGCGCACTCCTCCTGCACTGACCTGCTGGGTAGAAACAGTTGCAGACTAAAGTTAATAACAGACATAAAAATTACTTATTCAATTCAATTCAAAAATACTTTATTAATCCCAGAGGGAAATTAGAGTTTTAGTACACACAATTCTGAGATCAGACATACATACATAGACACATGACAAGAATTGGTGACTGTGGTCATTTGCAACCCGAGTCGCGCTACTGTAATAGATCAAGAGGGTTTATATGAGGATAGAGTCACGGGGAGGGAAAAAAGGCACTTCAGAGTTACCCTCCACAGAGAGGGTAGCTTTGCCATGCAAAAAACACCTCAGACAGATCTGCACACAGACTTCAGACATTACACAACATAAGTGTCCATTAGATGGGGAGGTAGGGTTGGGACTGTGAGCTGAGTGTGCACCACAGAGCAGCGCTCATCACCTCCGTTTGGACGGGGGAGGGAGATAATTGGTTAGAGAGCACACTGAGTCCCAGATACAGTTCCACGGCCTTCACCGGTCACAGTCCCGCCCAGGCTGGGATAGGGAGAAAGGGTTTCCATAGCGACGGCAGCATTCCACATTTCTTCTGAGGGGGGAGTTTTCACTTCGGCCTCTCAGGCTTCAAGGGCACCAGCTTTAGATAAGGATTGTTTGGGGTACAGGCAGAGATCATTTCCTCTCTGCCTTAAAGTTCTGTTGGTCTTCAACCCATCCAGGTCCAATAGTGGCGTTATTAATCTATTCTGATCCATGGTGATCCATCAACTCTCTCCTTGATCGAATCCACCTTCTGTGCCAGAGCCTGAATCTCAGCCAAAGTTCCAAGCTTTCGACTCATCTCGACAATTATATGAGTTTGTGAGTTTACAGCATGATGCATTCCATCCCTGAGCTCCGGGATTGAGCCAATATTCCTCGAAAGCTCGTTAATTTTCCGGTTTGCCAGGTAACCGCTCAGGCCAAACAGCAGTAATCCCGACACCAAAACGACAAATATCCAGACATCTTCAGAATCCTTTACAGACAGTTGAAAGGCATATCAGTTTCCACTGTTTCCAGGAGTCCATGATCAGGGCCGCCTGTGTCGACAGGCGACACAGGCGGCCGCCTGGGGCGCTATCTGATGGATAGGGCGCAAAAAAAAAAAAAAACCTTAATTAAATTTATGTTTGTAATATGAAATGCACTCTCTACATACTCAAAATTCCCCTCTGAAATGACATGAAATTAAAACATCAATATTTAAATTCTAATAATCTGGCTGCATGACGAGCTCCTGCTTGGGCCACCGCTCCGAAGCATTTGACCGTTAAGGTTGCCGTAGTCACGTGCGTGGTTAGCACTGTGGGACATCCTGTTGTCGTTGTGTTGAAACTTTTGATATGTTTTATGATGAAAATAACACCTAAGCCATTGGGATCAGCATTCTGGAAGCGAAGGAAGGAAGAAGAAAATAAACGGGCCCAAAGCAGAGGTATGTAGACTTTATAAATTTGGCAAAGGAACTTTTTGCGTTAGCATTGTAGCTAACTGCCTCTCCTGCCACGCATGGTCCACGGACGGACACTCGCTAGCTGTTTACATACACAATACAGTATCTCATAACTTTAACCAATTAATTTTACTTTTGAATCGTCGTGTCCAGATGCTATGAGACAATATCTGCAGCCACACAGGCACCTGTTGACCCAGGGGGGGCGGACGGGACTGTCTTTACACCTGTTGAGTCTCACTGTGATGATGAAGAATGTAAGATTGTTTACTGGTTTTTGGAGTATGATTGCAGCCTTTTTATGAGCCTTGTTTCAAGTTTTAAGTACGCATACAATATGAATATATTATTTCCATATCAGAAGAGCATTAGGTGTAGCAAATTTTCAACTTTGTCCGACACATCGGGCGGGCGGCACCGCTGCGGCCGTGGCGGGGACTCCCCCGCTGCCGCCGGGCCCGGCGGGGAGTGAGAACTGCCCAAACACAGCATGACATCTTATACCGTCTCTTTCTTGTTTACGCTGCAGCGTCTTCATCCAGGCATGACGCAGAGAGCACATTTACTGAGCTACAATCTCAGCATCTAGAACCAGGTGAGTAAGTTACTTGTTAGGCTATTTGTAATCAGCAGTAGAAACGGACTTTTTCAAATTAAACGGCTTATCACATATGATATGCAAAATTAATTGATTTAAATCCACACCAGACACTTGTTTTTGGCACAATCAGTGCAGCATTGATTTAGCATTGAGAATATTAAATAATCTGAACATGCCCATCTGAAATTGTCTCCTTAAGATGTTATTAGGCTGTAAATTTGTAAAAAAAAAAAAAAGGATGGACATTAGTTTTTGTGACATAGTGAGTCATCTTCAGGGCAGAAAAGTTTATGCCCTGAAGAAGGTCGTACAGAAACGCGTTGGCGTTTCCTTGTTTAATAAATGAAATCCTCAGAGTGCCTCAGACCACCGGTTCTTCTTCCTCATATTCTAAATTTATTTGATGCTGAAGAGCACCTGAGAGTGAGACATACATTTTTTCAAATATTCCCCACTTCCACCTGTTTTTGATAATTTTATTCATGTTTTCATAGAACAGATTAAAAAAAAGATCAATAAAATAAAAAGTCCAGTAACATTAAAAATAATGAAAAGCATCACTGCACATGACTGAGGAATACTGAACATGAAAGTGGCACTGTTCTTAATTCATGCATCAGAGGGTTAAGTTGCTTTGTATGTGTGTGTGTGGTGTGTGGTGTGTGTGTGTGTGTGTGTGTGTGTGTGTGTGTGTGTGTGTGTGTGTGTGTGTGTGTGTGTGTTTTTATTTTCTCACAGAAAAAGAACCCAACACCAGCAGAATCAGTGCTCCAATCCAACAGCCTGAAGAGACACCATCATCAGCTTCAACAGATGTCTGTGAACATGTAGGAGCTGCTGGCCCCATGGATCCTGCTGACTGGCCACAGCAGTTGAACAAAGTGGAAAGTAGAACTTTCTTTATGATGACACTGATATTTGAGTTTTGCTTTTGATTGCACAGTTTAATGCTGCTTTTGATTTTGCATCCTCCAACGACGTTTGCTCAACATTTTGAGTTGTTGGTTATTGTAATATTCTCAGGTTACTTATCTTTCAAGCTTACATTTATTCTTCAGGCTGTTGACTTTAAAGAGTTGCCGTGTGAATATTTAAAATAAGAAATTAGTAACCAAGGAATAACTGTGGAGTTGTTTTCCAATGTGTGGTGGGTGGGTGGACTTGGGTTTGGGTGAGAGGCATGCAGGCAGGGGGGGGGGGGGGGGGGAACGCACATGGGCAGTCTCGCCTTGGGCACCAAATTACCTGGAGCCGGCCCTGTCCATGATATACCCAGCTTGCTCTGTCCCAGAGGGGCATCCGGGAGCCCCTTCTTCCGTTCTCATCAATGAAAAGATTGTGTCAATCGCTTTGAGACCAACTGACCAGATCCATGTTTAATAATTTCCAATTTCCAGAAAAAATGCAGAGAAGCGCCGTGCACAGACAGACAAGACAAGAGCTTGGGAGCAGCAGGGGAGGAGAGGGAATAAAAGCGTCTGTGATCTCCAAGAGCCGGAAGAAGACTTATTTTATTAAGTCAATGATGGTTTGTGTTAAACCCATAAACCAAGTTTCCATAATGTTCTTTTAGTTCCCAACATGAGCCAAATGCACAAAGCAGGTACTAGTTAGGCTCCTCTCACAAATGGCTAATAGTTTATGGGCATGTTATCCATTCATCTGTAACACTTTATGAACCATTAATAAGGGTTTATTATGCATTAACAAAGGGCAAGACAGAGACTAAACTAACTGGGTTCTTGCCAAATAGTGAGCCAAATCTTTCCATCCATTTATTTCATCTAGAGCTGCTTTATTATTTCAGAATAACTTACTTGTTTATAAGCACAATGAAACACGTTTTAACATATAAAACATACTTCATCGTTGCGCCATTAATATTAACAACAATTAAATGGAAATTAGATGTCAAATTTGACATCATTTATTTGTTTAATAAACATTTAGAACAGTAGGACCGAGCCTATTAAGCATTAGGTCTTGGAACATTAAAACTCTATGACACCCCTTTATAATAAACTTGTTTTTGACATTTATAAATGTTTATTAGTCATTAATGGCGTCATGTTTTACAAGTTTCAATAAGACTTCCTGTGTTAGTTGAGGATATTTACAATGCAGTGATAAAACATTACTGTGTGCTAATAAATGATGTTTCCAAATGCTCATCTGGTAGAAACTTAGTCTGAAATATTTAATAAAGCAACTCTAGATGGAGAGGTGCGGTTGGGAGGAATGGCCCCCGGAGTTCCTTAAGACTCTGGATGTTGTGTAGCTGGGTTGGTTGACGCTTAACTGCATTACTGCAAGGACAACGGGGCAGTTTTACCAGATTGACAAACTGGGGTGGTGGTCCCCCTATTTAAAAAGAGGGACCACAGGGTGTGTTCCAATTACAGGGGGAATCACACTTCTGAGCCTCCCTGGCAGGGTCTATTCAGGGGTTCTGGAGAGGAGGGTCTGTCGGATTGCCAAACTTCAAATTCAGGAGGAACAATGTGGTTTTTGTCCTAGCCGTGGAACACTGAACCAGCTCTATATCCTTAGGGGGGTCCTGAAGGGAGAAGGAGTTCGACCGCATCCTCCGGGGGGCCCTGTGGGGGGTAATCCGAGAGTATGGGTTACCAGGCCTTTTGATACGGGGTGTTAAGTCTGTATGACTGGTGCAAGAGCTCGGTTCGCATTGCCGGCAGTAAGTCAAACTCGTTTCCGGTGAGAGTTGGCTTCATCAGACAGTAATCTCCAGCTTCTGCTGGAGAGGTTCGCAGTCAAGTGTGTGAAGCGGCTGGGATGAAAATCAGCTCCTCTAAATCTGAGACCGTGGTCTAGAAAGGGAAAATAGTAGAATGCCTTCTCCAGGTCAGGAATGTGGTCCTGCCTCAAGTGGAGGAGTTTAAGTATCTCTGGATCTTGTTCACGATTGAGAGA